ATATTCATACAATGAAATATTATACAAGGAAAATAAACTACAGGTGAATACATCTTACAAATGTAATAGTGCGCAATAGAAGCCAACCCCTGCTCCCCTCACCCACCCAAATACATATTTAATGACTCTATTCAAAGAATAGGCAAACTAAAGTATGTGATTAGGGTTATGTGTTTAGGCAGTTAGACTTATAGTCAAGAGAGTGGTTTCCATACAAGTCAGAATAGTGCTTATCTTGACTATTTTGGGGGAAAGGGGAGAGTATATTTCCTGGGGAGGACAAGGAGGGAGCTTCTTGGGTGCTGGCAATGATCTTTCTTGTTGCAGTTGATTATTTTGTGGGCATTTGCTTTGTGGTAATTCACTGAGCTGTACTTTTGAGATAATTCAATGAAGTGTGCCTTTTTGTGTTCTATATTTCACAATATAAAACATAAATATGTACAGTGGTCTTGAATTGGTAATCACCTCAAAAGAGCAAAGGCGCATCCTTTCAGGAGAAACTCACCTTCAATCCAGGCCTCAAACAATTTTCACATAGTGTACCAAGCCACATGGGCTCACAATGAGGAAAAAGAGATCCACAGAACACACAAAGAAGCAAATCACCATGAGCAAGAGCCAGTAGAAACAAAAGACTTCAGAACTTGACCCATAAAAACCTTGGATAAAGGGATTAACATATTCAGGGTATAAAATCAGCAAACCTTTCACAAGACTTTTTTTAAGTCATAAATTAATATTAACAATGAAAAGATGCTAAAGAGATTAGTTTTAAGAGGATATTAAGAACTTCATGCCAAAAACTTGTAAAGAAAGATAAAATGTATAAGTTTCCAAAAACCCATAACTTACCAAAACTGATTTTAAAATGTGAATTGTTCTTAAACATTAAAAAATCTAATCAATATAACTTAAGATTTTTCCTTAATGATAACAACAGCTCAGATTGTACTGCTGAGTTCTACTACGGAACAAATAATTCAAATTCAGGGCACAGAACACTCCTCAGTCTAATTTTAAGAAACTAGCCTTACTTTAAAACCAAAACTTAACAGAAAATATAAGAAAATTAGTTTAATATAACTCATGAACATGGATTTAAGAAAAAAACAAACATCCTAATAAAACAAATTAAGCAATATGTAAAAAGACAAACTATCAAGAACAGAATGGATTTATCCAAGAAATGCAAGGATGCTGTACACTGGAAAATTTAAAAAATGTAATACACTACATTAACTGATTAAAGGAGAAAAATCCTGTCTCAGCAGAAACAGAAAAAGAACTGATAAAATCATTCATTTGTGACCAAAAGAAAGAAAAGAAATTCCTACCTCACGATAGGAAAAGGAAAATCCCTTACCCAACAGTTGTCTAGTAAGAGCCTATAGCAAACACATTTCTTGATGAAATGCTAAAACACGAAGGTATCCACCAACACCATTTGTGCTTAATAACGTACTGGAAGTATCAGTAAATTCAGTAAGAAAAAGAAAGGTCTGGGCCGGCCCAGTGGCGCACTGCTACAGTGCACCGCTTGGGAAGTACGGTGGTGGTCCCGCTGAGGGTTCGGATCCCACATACAGACCGGCCGCTCACTGGCTGAGCGAGTTGCGGGAGCAACACCGAGGGTTGCGATCCCGTTGCCGGTCCTGGTACGGTACGGGCGCGACACTGAGGGTTGTGATCCGTTGCCGGTCACGAAAAAAGGGGTAAAAAAAAAAAGAAAAGAAAAAGAAAGGTCTGAGTTAAAAAGGAAGAACTTTTAGGAACAACCCCCTCTGCAGTCAGTCTTAGGGGCTCCCTCCTGTCCAGCACCAGGTGTTCTCATTCAGTACCAGCCTGTGAATACACAGCTCCCTGTACTTCCACTGGGCCCCTCCCTCCTCCCCTGGGCTGCTTCAGGACAGAGACCTCCCTCATCTGGCTCCTGACTTTGGGACTGGAGTAAGGACACTGCTGGACCCTGGGTTGATACCCAGGAAACGTGTGGTCCATCAACACTCTCAGGTGCCATGGAAGCCTGCAGGCCTGACTGTATTCCAAGGAGGAGGTCTCTCTTAGCACTTCTCCCAGGACCTGGGGTCTCTGCTCAGAATCCCTTCTCTTTCCCTGGAGGACTTCTCAGACCTTGAGGATGGCAGCTCAGCATCCCTTCCTCAGGGAAACCTTCCCGGACAGGTTAAACTTCCTGCCACAGGCTCTCTTGGACACCCGTCCCTCACCCTTGCCAGTTTTGATTTTCCACTGGCCTGGGAGATTGACTATCTCCCTCAGTAAACATGCTCCAAGAGAAAGCAATGTAGCCGGTGTCTCAATACCTGCCAGAGCCAAGTGCAGTGCCAGAAGCATGAGAAGCAAGCAGTAAGCATCTCAATGACAGCATGCATCTCTGTGACTGTCTCCACCACAAGGCAGGCCTCTGAGCGCCAGGCACCCAGCACTTGGCCTACTCGATCCCTGGGGACTGCTGTATAGGTATGGAAAGGGCAGAGAGGCAAAGGGAGAACTCTGCCACTGTCTGCTCTTAAGTCTTTCTCAAGCCAAGCCCGTTCTCACCTTTCAGCTTCTTTGGCACTGCTTGGTGAACAGTGACTGGCACATCCATGTACTCCTGGGGCCCTGACTCCCAGAGGAGGCCTATGTCTGGGTGGTCAGGGGTGCGGGGGGACACTGCACTGCAAGATTCCCAGGGCGACCTGAGTCCACACTGCTGAGAGCAACCTCTTGGTGCCTTTATGTGGCTGGCCAAGCTGAACTGACAGCCCCTCAGCCCACCTCGCCTCTCAGAGTACTCTGCTCTCTTAGGGATTCCAAGGCCTGGCCTGATGGTTTTGCTCCAAGAATGGCCTCTCACATGATGGCCTCCAGACAAGCAGTTTTCCTGTACACACTGATGCAGAATACACTAGGTGTGAGGCAGCTGAGAATCACACACCTCGGCGAAAGGGGGAGGGGGAAGATCAATTCCGATTCGAAAGAGCAAATGAGTGAATGAAAAAGGTATTTGGTTCAAATTAATGGTTTTATTTCCATCTCAAACACTAGCAGAGGAGTCCAAAAACGACTGATGTCCATGGATATAGTTTAAATGTAACAAAGAAAGTTGAACTATGTACACTGAGGAAGGGAAAGGGATTTTTTCATAACCTTTCCCTAATTTGCAGTTTCTGAATAGTAGAAACTAAACACACATTTTCTTTTAACCTATTTAATTTAGAATGAAGTAATACAACTTTTATGATCAACCACTTAAGTTGTCGTTAAGGATAAAACTTACAGAGATCTTGAAATGGGTGTCACCATACTTATCAGTCAACTGGCTGCATGATTGCCTTGGCTCCTGAAGTCTGGGTATCACTGAACATAAGAGTATCTCCATGAAGCCCAGAGGGAACATAATGGCAATGATGTCCAACAGGAGGGCAGACACGCTCCGCACCGCAATGAGGAGAGCCGATGCTCCTGCCCTCTTCAACTCCAAGTAGAAAATTATTATTTTCATTCAAACTAACTGAAAGTGAGCCAAACAGTTAAAAAGTCAGAATGAAGAATAAAACTATTTTCTTTTCACATAGAGGAGGGACAGTCCTTCAGCCCCGTTTAAAGTGAATTCTGTGCTGAGTCCCTGCTCCTTCAGAAAGGTAAACTGAAGGTCAGTTATTGCTAACAAAGCCAGAAGTGGCCCCTTTCCCACCCTGAAGATGTTTCACACAAAAAGGCTGTTGGTTTGGCTTGAAGCCCTCTGAGGAAGGAGGGGTGCAGAGATGGAGGCAGCTGGCACTGCAAAGCCTCTCCTCTACTAGCCATCCCCATGCCCTGTGCTGTCAGGGGTAGCTTAGGCCACCTTGATGCTTCCTAGAGAACCCGAGGCTCCCACACACCTCTAGAGTGGAGCAGAGGCTACGTGGGCCCCTTAGGGGAAATAAGACACCGTTCTTTGCCAACCAGTACCTATGGAGCAGTCAAAAGCCCAAGGATCAAAGCTCAACTGGCCAGAAGAGCAGCTTTTGAAATGTCAACTGGTGGGGGTGGATGAGAAAGCCAAGTCAATGCCAAGTCAGGTGGGCCAAGATCTCTGAAACATGGTACGGCAGTGACTTGGGCAAAGCCATGGAAGTGAGCGGCTGATAAGGCCACAATTACTGCCCCACTTCCCAGTGTCTATGCTTGGGCAGACTCTAGGCAGTGGGAACTGAGGAACTGAGGACCGGAGGGGGCATGTGGTGAACCCAGGATAGATTTCATCAGAAAAGCAAGAGGACACTCAATCACGTGCCTGCCCTATTTACCTGGCAAACTGTGGAGCATGGGTAAGGTTCCTGAGGACAGTTGATGATAGAGACAGGGTGGGATGGGCACTGCTCCACAGGTGACATTAGGCCCCTGAGAAGGACACTAACAGTGCTACATCTCCTGGGCTGCTGAAAAGTAGGTAAAGAACGGGCTTTATTGCACTTTTTCGTTCTTAGGAAATGGGGATTGCCCTGCAGAGGTTCTCTTGATTTGCAGAAATCACTGCATATCAATGATAAGGTGCAGGCAGAATCACGGGTGACCTCTAACTCTTGAGGGAAGAAAAAAAAGTCCAGTGGTTGGTCTTTCTGGGGCCTCAGGGGACCACTCTTGCACCTGGGATCCTTGGGCTGGGTAGATCATGTCTGGTTTGGTCACCATGTGGCAGGCAAACTGGTCGACTGGCAGACACCTGGGATGAAAGGTAGCATGCCCAAGAAAGCTGGAGCAAACTTTCCAAACGGGAAACTTCTTTCCCAGGTTCTGAAAAGAGGCTGGAACCACAATTCTCAATTCCAATGTGCCTGACTCCCTTTCTCCTACTCTGGAACTGGACCACCCCAGAGGAACAAAGATATAGAATGTGGCCCGAGAAGGCCCGAGTCCAGCTCCATAGCATCAAACAGGAGATAACAGAATCTAAGAGGGGGTTAGAAACAAAAGAGCAGTTTACATATGAGACGTTGGTTTTGAAGTAGTCTTCTTGAGCTCAGGAAATTGGAGGCAGATACCATGTGGAGAACCCAGCCAGGCTGGCTGTCTGTCCATCCATCTCTCCTGAGCAGCTCTGAACACTTCATATATAAATGGGGTGGTATCGTTTGTGGTTGATCTTTTTCCTACAAGTTGGGCAAGTGTTAGCATTTTTAAGGGAATCACGGAGGCAGTGGCTACAGAAGACATGGCCACATTCTGTGGAAACAATGAGACGTCCATTCTGCACAATCTAGAAGACATTAAAAGGAACAATCTTCAAGTTTGCCCTTGTCCCGGAGCAGCAGCGGTCCCCAGAGAATTCTACCCATACCCATTCCCTAAGATGACCAGTGAGAGGGAAGGAAGGGCCAGGGCTGCAGCAGAGAAAGCAGGGAGATGGTCTAGGGAACCCACAGGACCTGCTCTGCAGTTCTGTCAGACAAGCGCGTGTGGGGTCTCTGTGATAAGGACAGGAGGAAGGAGCCAGTCTCCTAGCAGTGGCAGGAGGGTTATGAGGGGCACCAGGAAATACTAGTAGCTTCTGGTTAGGGTCAGGACAGGGGACACAAAAGGCTGACACATTTGTAACGGGAAGTACAGGGCATACAGGGGCTGAAGTGGAAGGCTGCAGGGCCCAAAAGAAAATCAGCACACTCTCTTTTCACACACAGGATTGCCAACAAGCTATGTGCCAGCCCAGGTATGCTTGCAGGAAGGGGTATCATATCGCACTTATAGAGAATATCTTGTCTCATCTAATTCTTCCACTGAAGCAGTTTAGAAGCCAGAACCAAGGAAGATACAGCTTGGTTTACTTACCTCTGAGTATCCATCCATGCAGATCGGACAACTGACTGTACCAGAGGGCCTAAGATCACAGTGCTTCACATCAGTTTCTCAGCAAACTCAAACATTTGATTACACCCTTAAGTGTCCTTCATAGGAACAGCCCGTATCCCCCTACAAGAGTCCTTCCCCTGGCCTCCTTTGATTCTGCCTTAGCACAGGCATCCAGGAGACAAGGGAAAGCTGACTGCCCCGAGAGGGTGTGGGAGGGTGGCCATGAGAAAGAGGAGAGAAGAGAGAAACTGGAACAGAGCAGATGAAGACCTGAGTCACCCTGTCCTCCCACTATGCCCAGCCATGCTCACTCAGAGGGCCTCCTCCAGGATCCCTGTCTAGGGCTGGGGCTGTGCCTGCCATGGTCCCTCAAGCATTCCTGCCATAGGAGGCTGAGGCCACTGGGCCTGTTCACACCCACCCTGTCAGTGCTGGCACACTCCAGTCACCGTGGGAACAGCTGAGCCCAGCTCTGGATCTAGTTCCAACTGCATTCAGCTGTTGGGCCAGATGTTTGGGCAAGCCTTCTAGAGCCAAGGGCTCACAGATTTGCTAAAAAGTACAATATTTCTATATCCTGGCCCCCATCCTAGCACAGCAGCATCAAAGCAGGGGTACGCTGGTACCTGAGTCCTGTAGCTCCTTCGGCCCTGGGATTCCTGGGAGTATGGGTGGTCACATATACGTCTCTGTCTCTGGACAACTCCTCATCGTCACTGCTGACCACACAGCTGTCAGCATGCTCCTGGCGCAACTGCCTCGTGTTCCTCCTTGGCCGCCTCCTTTCTAAAGTGAGACTCACGTTTCAGGGTTGAGGCTCCCCACTCTCATCATCCTCACCACCCCACCCTGGTGCCTCTAAGACCCTCTTCCTCCCCAGAGAGAAACTGCTGCCATGCCCAGCTACACCCCAGAAGGTCCTGCCCAGCTCTGGAGGCTGGTCCTTTGTCTTCTGAGGAAAAACCTCCCATCCCTGCTGCAAGCTGGTGCCCGGGCTGTGGAGCAGTCTAAAGTGGTTGGCATTCTCCAAAATCTGGTCGGTCCCAAGGCAGGACTGTAGCTCAGCACCAAAGGTGAAGTTTCTTCAGCAGGTGCAAGGGGGACTGGTTATGCAGAACTGACCACAGCATTATCATAGGCATTTTCCTGCCTGGAGTTCTCCGATCCCTCTCCAAACCCAGTGAAGAAGATAAGACCACTCACCATCGACAATCTTTTAAAAAGAAAAACAAAAGACAAAGAAGCAATCAGTCTGATTTAAGTGATAAACAGAAGTGTTTCTTGTTTCTACTGGGTGAGATCCCCTGCAGAATCCTCCGATAAGCTGCAGAGTCCCCAACCCTCACCTGGTCAGTCAAGGCCCCTTCCCAGGTCACTCTGCCTCCCAGCAGCTGAACCACATCAAATTCTGGAATCCCTGCAGGTGTCTCAAGTACTCTGGAATGTGCCTGCCACATAGCTAGAGCCCTACAGGTAGCACAGTGCTTGCCTGGCACTGGAGATGGAGGCAGGGGGCAGAGTATTATGGCTTGATAAATGTCTACTGAATGAGTCAACAGATGGATAGAGGCACAACTCAAGCTCTGGGGCCTCTAATCTGGTTGAGAAACCTTTAAAAGAAATAAAAAACCAAAATTGAAACAATAACCAGTCTCCTAGCCTAAAAAGTTTAATTTGCCTTTTGGGAGGGCATGGGGGGCAGCTAGCCAGTATGAGGATCCTAACCCTTGACCTTGGTGTTATACCTGTACAGTTGGTTAGCACTGTGGTGAGCTGGTCCAAGATCAGAAAACCACACATTCTATTTACCTTTAGTCTGGCTTCTCAGCTACAGAGAGTAATAAATCACTGCCTAGAGCATTTAAGGACAAGTGGAGACCTGCAGCAGGTACATCTGGTCAGTCACCCGAAGTCACTTCATGCTTCCAAAGCACAGGTGAGCCTCAGAACACCTCAACATGAGAGCAACAAGTAGCAGGAATCGCTGGGGTCCCCTGCACTTAAGCTGATCCCCGGCATTTCTCCGAATGCTCATCTAGCCGGGAGCACGGAGGGACACTGCTTTAGATGATCTTCCCACTCCCAGCACTACACATTGTTCCACTGGAACAAACAGCCACTCAGAACTACGGTGCACACAGAAGGTTAGCTACTCTCTACATCCAGCAGTGGCACAGACCATGCAATTACTGATTCCTGTTACTTGTAGTATCGGCAGGAACACCAGAAAGACTGGTGCTGACGGTAACTTTCTAGTCAAGTAACCAATGCATCTCGGACTGCATGTACAACCGCTTCCAATCTAATTCTTAGATATGATGTCCAAGCTCTTCTTTCTTCACACTTAATTAGGTTGGTTCACTCATTCCAACAGTTACTGTATGCCTCTTGTGTCCTTTACTGTACCCACAGAGAGGGACAGGGCTCTGTCCCTGCTTGTAAGGCGGTCTCTATCAAGTAGTCCCTTTCAATAGTCTCATAAATGACAAACCAGGCAGTACACAGAGAACACTACAAATAGCACGATTCATTAGTACACTATGGAAACAGCAAAAAACAATTCCAGGGAAATAAACCGACTTTAAAAGACACAAACTTTTCAATAATCTGCCCCCAAAGACTCAGTTTCTGAAAGAGAAAAGCCAGTCTTTTTTCTATCACTGCACTGCTTCTAGTGAGAGGAGAGATGGCCATACTGCAAATGCTCATGAAAAGTGGCCTGTTACACCAGGTAAGAAAACAGATGGATGGAACACACAAGCAGAGATTTTCAATAAATGGCAGGTTACTTATTCTGATCAATTTTCCAACTGAAAACAACCAAAACCAAGATAAAACACATGTTTATTTATATCAACAAAGAGATGGGAGGGAGGGAGGAAGGAAAGAAGGAAGGAAGAAAAAGAAAGAAAAGGAAAAAAAAAATAAATGAATAAATTTGGTCAATAGTAAAAGGAAAACGATAATGAAGAGAAAAAAGGAACAAATCATTCTTAAAAAATTGGAGCTCGTTTTTGTAATTGGCCTCAGAGGACAGAAACCAAAGCCCAGGCCTAAAACAGTATGCTTATTTTAGTAAAGACCACCCTGTGCAGGCTGGGCCTTAAAGCAAATCTCAACAAATATGAAAGAACTGACACAGAGATTATATTTTATGAACATAATGCAATAATACAAAGCATCAGTAACAAAAAAGATAAGAAAAATCCCCATATGTTTGGAAGTTAAATACAAATTTGATAAATATGCTAAATTGAATAAAAACACCAATACCAAAATTTGTAGGATACAGCTAAAGAGAATATAATCTGGGCCAGCCCGGTGGCGCACTCGGTAGAGTGCGGCAGCGCTCCTGCCGAGGGTTCAGATCCCATATAGAGACTGGTCCGCTCACTGGCTGAGCGCGGTGCGGGCGCGACACCGAGGGTTGCGATCCCATTGCCGGTCGCGGTACGGGCACGACACCGAGGGTTGCGATCCCGTTACCAGTCACGAAAAAAGACAAAAAAAGGAAGAAAAAAAAAAAAGAGAGAATATAATCTTACATGCATGTAGTAGAAAAGAAATGATGGAAATCAGTAAGTTAGAAAAAGAACAGTAAAATAAACTCAAAGAAAGAGATAATCAATGGAATGAAAACAAACTTACAAGAAAAAGGATCGACAAAGCTAAAAGTTGATTCTTTGAAAGATCTAATAAAGCACTGGTGATACTAATCTAAAAAGACACACCAAATAACCAGTATCAGAAATAAGAAAAAGGACATTACTACAGATGCCACAGACCACAAGACATTATGAACAAATGTATGGCAATAGAAGTGAAAATTTTAGATGAAATCAAGAAATTCCTAAAAATTATAACTTACCAAAACTGATTAAAACTCTAAGTTAAACATCTTTACTGTAGAGGTCTACCAAACACTCGAAAAAGAAATAACTCCAATCTTACAAAATCTTTTGGGGAGCAGATAAAAAGGGTGTTCTTCCCAACTCATTTTATAAGGATATCAATACTGATACCAAGACCCTATAAGGGATGTGTACAAAAAAAAATTTAAGATCAACCAATGTTATTCATAAACATAAATGAAAAAACCATATGTAAAATATCAGCAAACCGAATCCTGCAATAAAAGGATAACCCATCATGACAACAATAAGTCTGGTTGGCTTAATACTGGAAACCAACGTAATTCACCACTTCAACATATGAAAGGGAAGAAATTACCAATAGACGGATGTGTTAAAATTCAACACTGATTCACAATGAAAACCTGTAACCAAACAGGAAATGAAGAAGAGTTTCTCCAATCTGATAAAGAGTATAAACAAACAAAAAATCCTACGGCAAAGATCTTATTTAATGGGCCGGCCTGGTGGCGCACTGGAGAGTGCGCCGCTTGGGAGCGCGGCGGCGCTCCTGCCGAGGGTTTGGATCCCATGTGGAGACCGGTTCCTGCTCACTGGCTGAGCACGGTGCGGGCGCAACACCGAGGGTTGCGATCCCATTGCCGGTCCCCGGTACGGGCGCGACACTGAGGGTTGCGATCCCGTTACCGGTCAGTAAAAAAGACAAAAAGGAAAAAAAAAAAAGATCTTATTTAATGGTGAAACTAAAAGAATTCTCTCAGCTTTGGAATGAGCCAAGAATGTCAATGCTAATTTTTTTCAGTCAGTGTGTTAAGGAAAGAAAAAAAAGGAAATGGAAAAAACCAAACCTGCCCAAATGTGAAAGGTGAAACAGTAAAACCTACAGAATATAGGAACATCTTTTTATGATAAGAGATAGGACAAGATTTCTTCAACATAATCGATAAACTGTACTATATTAAGAGCCCCTATACATAAACAGACAAGAGAAAACACAAACCTCTAAGTAGAAGATACAAAACATGATAGAATAAAAAAATCTGCTGTAATTAAAAAAAAAAAAAGACAAAGGGGCTGCTTTGTTCTAGTTCAATTTCTTCAGCTCTTTTAAAAGTTTATACACAGATTAAGAGCACAATGGGAAACCAGCAGACAACCATCAGACTGGCTAAAACTGAAAAGCAGTTGTGAGGATGTGGAACAAGGAGACCTCAAGCACTGGTGCAAATGTAAACTGGTAACTCTGGAAAACAGTTTGTCATTAACTTAGTAAAAAGCAAAGGTATTCATATCCTGAGATCCAGGAATGATGGCCTTTTTTGAGTTATGCAATTCCAAAAATAAAAGTTAATTTTGAGGGAGACTATCAATGCAGAGATGTACAAAGTCTCACTGCACTTCACATATTTCTCTCTAACTCTTTGGAGGTTTTAGATTCCTTCGGCAATTGGGAAAAAGCACAAGTCCACATGCAAGTTTCTAGTGTTCAGAGGGCTCACTGATATTCTGAAGGTTGCCCCTAAATCCCGGTATCTAGGAATTGCTATCTTAAAGATACAGAGCTACTCCCGGAGCTAAAGCAGTACACTTCACCTGTTCCCACAGATACTGGTAGAATGGGTAAGATCAACCCAATTTTGGAATGAATACATTTGTCCATTTCCTACTGTCCTGCAGGCGGAGTCTAAGGTCACCCTGAACACATGATTCATCTAATAGATGCCCCTTGTCCTGAGTTAACACTATTACACTTCCTGAGCAGATCTACTTAGAACAGTAGAATTTCAGATTCACATGTGCTTCTCACTGTAAATTAATAAAATTGGCATTTGGATTTGTAAAATCAATCATAACAAGAGGAGAATAAATAGAATAGTGAGAGCTATTACATCCAAAATGATTCTTTTATGACTAGCAACACTGAAGCCAGTGTGAGGTATATCCTCTGGCCAAATCAACCTATAGTACCTCCCAACCCAGGACTGTCTCCCCCTCACCTAACAGCCTGACTCTGGCCCTCCCCTCCCAGAACAGCTCCCCCAACTCCAGTATTTCTGTCCCTGGGTCTCCCTGCAGACTCTACAAGGTTAAGCAGGAAGCCCAGGGTTAACTGGATGTGGGGTAAGCAGAGCATGGAGCCCAAGCCCAGGGAAACGGGAAGAAGGGAAGAGAGCTCAGGGAGAAAGCCCATGTAGGAAGAGGAGTCTAGTAATCTAGACAAAACAAAGGCATGGAAGGGGCGATGATGTTGGTCTGTGGTCTGTCACCCAATCATAGAAATCAGGAGTGAAACTGTATGTATACACATACCTGGGAAAGCACAGGAGGCCCAAGGGGGATCATGTATAGCTAGACCCACTTCTGCTTATCTCAGAAAGTTCTAACAAATCTCCAGGGAAACCACGAGGTCCTCTTTGGGAGCCAGTGTCCCCTTAAGCATTCACCCATGATCTTGTCAGATGCTAGGGGCAGCTGGGAGATGGGGGGCGGGGGCAGGGATGACAACAGGACAGCCCTGTGGTTTCGAACCAAGACCAGAGTTTAAGTCTGACAAGGGGGTTCATCATCCCCACTCTTTTCTTCTTATTCAAGAAGTCTGAAGCTTCTTAGCGCAACACTACTCTAAGTTCTAAGCACATAGGCAGGAAGCAATGCCTATGATCTGTCCCTGTTCTAACAGTCCAGCACCAGTCCAGTCAGGAAAACCCAAAGACCAGTGAGCCTCAGGGCCAAGGGAAGCCTCACAAACTCACAACCTCCTCCATCCCCGTGTACCACACAGTCCTCCTCAGCAGCACCTGCACCCACATGCACAACACTGTCAAATGTGCCATTACCTCCACTCCACAAACTGCGGTCCTGGCACGCTATATCAGAAGGCGCGCAAGTGGCATCCTTGAGAAAGGTTAACCTGCCCTAGGATGCTGGTCAGTGAGCTAACAGATTCCCATACCCGCACACAGGAACAGGTCTATCAGAACCAGCAGCTCCACATGTCCTCTGACCAGACCAGGCCTCACCTCTCACAGGCTGCACATGGGGCACATACATTCCCTGCCAGGTCTATAACTGGTACCATGGGAAGGGGATTCAGGCAGCCTCCTGGGTTCCATCTTCCCTGGGGTCAGGACACAGCCAAGGCATCAGGTAGTTATGCAGGGTACCAGCATCCTCTGAGGCCATGTTAACTGGCAGTGCTGAGCAAATATTCCCTTCCCCTTCAGCCAGGAAGGGCAGAAGCTCGTATCAACTGGGTACCATCCTAGGTTCCAGGGACTCCAACGTGGGATCTCTTTTAATGCTCACAATACCCTGTTGACACGAGGGTTCATCCCCATTTAACGGGCGAAGTGAATGAGGCTAAGTAACATGCCCAAGGTCACACAGCCAGTGTAAACTGTGGAATCAGATGTGGAGGCCTTCAGATTCTCCCCAAACCATTTTGTGACCAGCTGTGGATAGGTCTGGGTCACACAGACCTAGTCCTTAGGCAACAAAGCCACAACAAATGATTTTCCTGAAACATTTTCCATTTTGGACTCCAGTCACTGAACGCATGAGCCTTTTCAGCACAAGCTGTAACCTTGACCTGTAATCTGTGACCAAGGTCTTTAGGCACTGGCACTGGCCAGGTATCCACACCCAAGAAATGGCCACCTCTCACATTCAAACACTTACCACAACAGAGTCATTGTGAGTCAGGTCGACAACCACGGGCTCTAAAGATTCACAGGTGAGGTCCACGATTTCATCTCCAGCTTCAAAATAAAGCATTTCAACAAGCATTGGGAGGAAAGTAAGGGTGTATCCCTCTAAGCTTTACTAATATGATCACAAACATAGCACAGGCTTATCCCTATAAACTATAAAAATCCTGAAGTACACAATGCAAAGACTATAAGGACCAATCACAGGACTGACACCCAACAAATGCCCTTCCAGAATTCTGCCATGAGAGAGAGAAAGTGTGTGTGTGGTTTTTTTTTTACAAGTGTAACATGAGGGGGAGGGGTGCATGCACTTGCACACCTCTATCCTCGTGGTGTCACACTCCCACACAGCCGTCTGCCCTCACCTCTACCTTCAGAGGGGAGTGGCAAGGCCTTACCTGATGGAGTGCCTGAGAGAAGGCACCAGGCATATTCTCAGCTCAGGGCATTTCTCTCTGGGACGGATGGGCCTAAACCTATGTTTCTCCCAGCAGGAGAAGCAGACCACTCTCACTTGGCCCAAGGACCTAAAGAAATGCTTAGCTCGGCAACTTCATCAATTAGCACAGGGAGGACCTTTTAATCTCCCTTTCTCTCTCAAGTGCCTCCCCATTTGGATGGAGAACAAGGGTGATATTTATTGGTCCCCTAGAACCCTGACATGCCAGAATTGGTTGGACCTGTTGTGGAGATTGTCTTTTGAGCCCTGGCGTGTATTACGATGTCTACATGAGCAAAGGATAAAGGTGAGAGGGATATGGACCAAACATTTAACAGCAGTTATGTCTGGCAGGTGGGAATGAGGGGTACAATATAACTTCCATTTATATAAACTTAAAAAAGATTTACAACCTTTTCTGTTTTTTTGATTACTGTTAGTTAACATTAAAAATTATGAAGTTAAGATTTTTAGAAACAGTATTAGTCTAATATTTCTTTGGGGAAAGTGACTTGTAATGCATTTAATGTTTTTTTTTTTTTTAAGCTTACATTTATTTATTTATTTACTTACTTACTTACCTGGCAGCTGGCCAGTACAGGGATCAAATCCTAGACCTTGGTGCTACTAGCACCATGCTCTAATCAACTGAGCTAACTGGCCAGCCCTATGCATTTAACATATTCTAAGTTGTTTTATTTTCTTGTATTAAAGTTTCACAGTAATAAAAACCACACTATATCACAGATCTCCAATGTAATTTACACAAAAGGACCTCATTATGAAAAGGAATGGCTGCTGCCTAGTAGTTCATGTATTGATATGCAATGATTTGTTGAACCATTCTTTCTGGTGGACTTGGCTCTTACAAAAACAGCACTCCAACTGGCAGCTTGAGCACACAGGGGCAAGACCTGCCTACATGACAAATGCCTCATTGGAAAGCAGTTGGACCCTTCCTGGGCCTGATATTCTGAGGCCTCCAAGAGACCACTTGTGTGCTCAATGTCACAACTGAGGAAAGCACCAGCTTTGGGGATGGAAGGCCAGGACCTAGCCTCTAGGTAAAGAAGTCAAAGCTTTTAGGAATTCACTATTAGAAGTTGAACTCAGAGACCACACGGAACTCTGAGTTGTATTTCATACTAAGTAGCTTCTCTTTAAAATGTCACTTTTCAAGCATCATGATTATAAAAACAATTTTTGTTTTTTGCTGGGTTGTTCAGGGATCCAAACTCATGACCTTGGTGTTATAAGGCTGTGCGCTAACCAACTGAGTAACTGGTTAACACTAAAAACAATTTGAGTTACGATCACGCATCATTTAACATGTTCTGAGAAAAGCATCATTAGGCAACTTTGTCATTACGCAAACACCATAGAGTGTACTTACACAAGCCTTGGCAGTACAGCCTACTGCATGCCTAGGCTATATGGTATAGCCTGTTGCTCCTAGGCTACAAACTTGCACAGTATGTTACTCGTACTGAATATTATAGGAAACTGTAACATAATGGTATTTGTGTATCTAAACATATCTAAACATAGAAAAGGTATAGTAAAAAATGGTATTATAATCTTAAGGGACAACTGTCATATATGCAGTCCATTGTTGACAGAAACATCATCATGTGGCGCATAAGTGTATATGCAGAGCAAAGTGACTAGATTCAGGCCACCTGACACCTTCCCGGCCTCTGTCTATACCAAGCTCTAACATAGGTAGCTCTGTCAACAATTTTGCCTTCTTGGGCAATTTTTTGTCTTGATGAAAAACAGAAGAGGAAAGCGAAGTATTTCACGAGGTCAAGCAAATTGGGAACACAATTTCAAATAGAAAGGGTGGACCCAGGGCAGGCTCACTTCCCCTGCTGCACCTTTCCAGAAGATCGAATGGTTAGCCCAGCTAAGAGGCTGTTTCAAAATCTGCAGAGGTCTTAGGGGCAGCTTTTGCTCAATTTAGCTTTAAGTTATAAATGACGGGTGAGTCTGAGATTGCACAGGTCTTAAGAAGACACTGATAGCAGCTTCTAATAGCTAACCCTTGTATTGTGTTACCTGCCAGGCTCCGTTCTAAGTGTTTTATGGTATTGACTCATTCCAGCCTTATGACAACTCTAAGCTGCAGGCACGAAAATCATCCCCTATTGTAGAGGAGGCTCAAATGGTGCATAACATAACTTGCCCAGGGCCCCATGGCTGGAAGGTGGCAGTGGTGGGCACCGGCTGGCTCCAGCTTGCATGTTCCCCACTACACCACACTGCCTCTCCACTTTAACACTCCACAGTCACCGTGACCCTGGCAATCTTACCAGTTTCCACAAGTTCTATGGGCTCTGCTTCTGAGGAAATCTCGGGGGTGGAGGTTGCTTCCCGGGTTCGCTTCTGGGCTTGTCTAGAACTTATTGTTCCACCACGACGCTTTCTCTGTGGGTATCAAACGGAAAAGAAACAGTCACATAGGATCCAGACTGACAGGTTTTCAGGAAGAAGAATAAAAAGGTCAACACAGGAATGGCTCAACTCATTAAGAGTAAGTAGCCAGTGAGTTGACTTGAGGTTGGGGTCCCTTCAAAACCAGAACGCAATGCTTACACAGAGAAATCACCCCAAAGATACAGTGAACAGAAATTCTGTAAAGTAAAATTTTTATTATATTAAACTATCAGTGGATCAAAGGTACATGATACCCCTTCTACAGAAGACCCCGTCCAGGTCAGGATTTGGCCTGGCCAGACAAAGGTTACAAACCCCTCCTTTTAACCAAAAGCTATAGATCTATCTTCCTCGAATTTGTGTTCAGCCTTATTAAGCCCCTTTTCAGTCTAAAGAACTTAAGTTTCCTGAGTTTCTATCCATTGTGGAAAGCTGGTCTGTGTTTGGGAAATATGGCCTCTATCCTTTTAGAATATTATGCACGCCCTAACAATCACCCCCCCCCCCCCAC